TGCAGTATGCAAATTAGCCGCCATCTTTGTTGGCGGTTAATTTGCATATCTCGCTGATTAGCCAATGGGAGGCGTAGCGAAGGTACGGTCAATTACCATGTTTGTCTATTATTAGGTAGGACTAGAGGCCCAGTGCACAAAAATTTGTGCACTGGCGCGGGGGTGGTGTCCCTCAGCCTGACCTGTGCCCTCTCACAGTCTGGGACCCCTTGGGAGATAACCACCTGCTGGCTTAGGCCCACTCCCCAGTGGCAGATGGCAGGCCCAGATCCCGCGCTGGGTTGCACACGGCAGGCCCGTATGGCAGCAGGGTGGGCAGCTGATTGCGCTGTCCCACCCCGCCTTCAGTATGCAAATTTAATGGCCATCTTTGTTGGGTCAATTTGCATACTCTTCTGATTGGCTGATGGGCGTAGCGAAGGTATGGTCAATTAGCATCTTTGTCTTTTATTAGTGTAGATAAGAAAAATCTAATTACTTTCCATTACTAAAATTTACCTTATTTCTCCCACTGAAAGATAATTTCCATGGGGTCAAGGATTTTGTCTCTTTGGTTCACTAATGTACTCTGAGTGCCTAGAACAGACATAGAAGGCACTTAATAAATACTTGGTGAGTGAATGCTGTAGAAAAACCCATAAGTAGCAGGCTCCAAGTAATGTTTCCAACAATAGTGTGACAAAATATGTAAACCTTTCCTTGTCCTATCACTTGTGCCTAATGTTCAATATTTTATTCGATTGGCCAGTAACTCAGGCCTTGCATTACAAGGAAGTAAAAATAGTTCAGAGATGCATAAATTATACTGCTTAATTCAGCATCATGCCCTATTCAAATGCACCAAACCCCAGAAAATTTGCCAAAAGAGAAAACCTAAAGACCTACTACTCTTAGATCTGAGCTGTTTTTTCAAGTGTGAAGGGTCTCCAAATGGTTTTCTTTCCTTCTTACCAAAGGTCAGAATTCTCTTATCTCATTGTCGTTTTATAAAACGAGGAAACTGAAGCCAGAGAATGGGTAGCACAGAGATTCATTCACAGAATTTCTCTTCTTCCCATCATGTAGCCTTCTTCTCTTATCATTTGAGGTTCTCCTTCCACAATCTTAGCTATAAGCAAAATATAATCTCACTAGGTCCCCTCTTGTTGCTGCCCCATAAAAAGCACACAGGTTCTCTGTTTTGAAAGGTTTTGCTGTTAAGGGTAACAAAGTGGGGATGACAAAAATAACAAATCTGAAGATGTTACAATTTAACATTCAACTGTGTGTATGAATGCCTGGCACTACCTAAAAATCACAGCATCTTTCTAAGTTCTTAGTGAGCCTCCAATTTATTGGCTCTTCTTGAAATAATAAATAGGAGTCTTGCTAGGTTTCCAAAATTTTCCCTCCCACCTACCTTCTTTCCTATCTTCCCAGGACACAAAACATATCACAGAGAAAAATAGTGGGTACATCTCTATTAAGTGAGAAATTAGCATTTCTGAGGACCTTCAAGAGTCATATCACCCCTGTGAAACTTTGACCCACAGGCGAATTTTCCTCAAAATGTGAGCAAATCGTCTCTTAGATTTTTATGGAACATACAAAGCTCCCAGTTCCCATTTTACATTTCCAAACATCTGAATAACTCCTCAGCTCCAAAACCAAAATCCCTATCATAAATTCTTCTCCTAAATCCCCTTCCACCAAAACCTGTTCTTCATAATATCCTGTTTTTGTTAATAGATCACTATCCTCCCAAAAATTTCTTATACTTATGTCAGTTCCCAATGTCAACATAAACATTTCTCAGGTCTCTATACCCTTCACTACAATCACACTGTCATCATTCTTGACTCAACTACTGTAATTTTTAACTCCACTGTATTCCAACCTCCAGGCTTCCACTACACCAGACTTCTGTTAAAGATTACTATCCATAAAAAAAAAGATTAATATCCATAAAAAGGGGTTCTTTTCAACTAAGAATCATGTACAAAATCCTTACCCTGGTATTAAGGATCTACATAATCTGTAAATAGGTATCCTTACCAGCCTGTTCCTTAAACATACAACTTTGCTTTCCTACCTCAGTACCTTTGATGGTTCAGTGTCCTTATGTGGAACTAGCTTTCGCCTCCCATCCTCCTCCAACCTCTAACAATATTGACATCCTCAAGGAAAGAAAAATGGCTGAGGCATATCATTCATTGAACACATATTCTGTCCAGTGCTTTACAAATTATCCTAGTTCCCACAAAAACATAACGGCTTACTACATTTTTTTAAGGAAGAGTTGAAGAAACTGAGGGCCAAAAGAGCTTATGCAAAGTCGTCCAAACCAGCAAGGAAACAATCCAAAATAACCCCATAGCGTTCTGTACTTTTTAATAAAACATGACACAAGATGGAAGGCTTTACTGTCAGAATGCCCACATGCAAATTCTAGTAACTCCAGTAACAACCTGTGCTAACTCAGCATGTATTTGTGATGCCTTCGTTCCCCATATAAAAAGGGGGTAATAGTACTATCTACCACATTGATAACAGTGAGAATTACATGAGATAATATAAAGTGCTTAGATTTGTATTTGGCCCATAGTAAACAATCAATGCTAGCTATTATTACTGTTGTTGCTATTTATATGCTATGATATGTAAACTCTGACTATATCAATTATATGTTCTATTTCCAAAACAACTTTTACATAATGTGAAAGCTTAATACTGTATTTTTATATATGCTCAATAACCATTTGCAGAATACATTTATTTTTAAATAATGATTAAAGTCCATGTTGTATTAAAAGAAATTCACTGTTTCCTCTTTTAAGAAAACTAACAATGCTTACCAACTTTCTTCCCTTTTTGTCATGTGAAACCACCATATGCAATGCCATATGGCAGTAATATGTCAAATGATGCAAAATACTATTTTGATTTAAACTCATCTTGCCTTCTGCTAAACATTAATTCCCAGATTTTAAAACGTCCAAAATCATACTTTTTACTTAAACACCAACTGTTTTTAGGTCATACCAGTATAAAGTAAGCATACCATGAAATTTGACCAAGCCATTTCATTTCATTTTTCTATGGCAATAACTATAAAACATAAAATGCCTTCCTACCCAATGTAACTCGAAGACATAAACCTATCATACCCTTAGTCCTACCCTTACTTTGCTAAAATTAGTACCTGAAAAACTTCTACTACATCTATGTTACTCTGATGCAGAAAACTATCAAAGGAAGGGTATTGAATGCTAGTAACAAAATGCTTGAGAGAAATGAGCTTTAAACAAGGATAGATGAGAGTTTATTCCAAACCCTTCAAGTACTGAAACTGCACAAACCAAGATTCTGCCCACATGATTTACTATTACACATGGAGACATCAAGCTGGTTGGCTTCAAATAAAAGCAGAAGTAAAAAATATATTAATAAAATATTGTCATTTCTAACACAAAAATAACTGAACTCTACCAATTATTTTAAAAAAACATTGAGGCTTAACTATGTAATAACTTATTTCAATTAATTCATTATTTCAATTAATGAATAAGAACATTAACATCTTCTTCATATACACATATTTAAAAACCAACAAAAACTTCATGAAATAAATATCTACTCTTACTCCATAGGATGTCCTCTGATATTGCTCCCTCTCTTTCTCTTTCTAATGTTAATGTCAATGCACTAAATTGATTCCAAAATCCATTAATATACTAAACTCTTTTGGTGGCACACCCAATCTGACTTATATTGTATCAAAACCGCAGATGTTCTCCTTGGAAAACAACAGATCATTGTTGAAAGAAATGTCTTCGTTCTCACTGTTCCTGCTGCATCACTGACAAATAACAGTCGGTCAGGTCTGGGGACACAAGAGGACCTGAGTGGCTGCCCACGGTACTGAAACTGAGGACAAAACGATAGTTTTGGAAATTTATTATTGCCAAATTAGACCAAAATTGAGGAGTTTACCACAAGCTGACAGAGCACTCAGCGGCTGCCACCAAAGTTACTGGTGGCCTGAGTGCTTCTGGGGTCGCTTGGCCTCGGGTGGGGCTGCTCCCTCTCCCGCACAGGGTTCTGCCGGTCACGCAATAGGCTTCCGGGCAGAGCAGCAGACTCTAAGAGGCAGGGCCCGGGACTCGGTGTCCAGCAGAGTCACGTCGCACCTACAATCTGAGCTCCCACTGGGCGGGGGCGGGGGCGAGGGGGAGGGAGTGGAAAAGGAGGAGGGAAAAGGTTGGGAAGAAAGGAGGTGACAGCCTCTTTTTTCCAAACATTAAAGAGTCCCTGCAACTAAAGTCTAGCCTGGGGACTTTGCGGCAAGAGAAGCCTTCCAAACATCTTCCCAAGCTCCTGCCACCTCGGCAGGGGACTGTGAGGAGCCAAACGGATAAACCAGCAACTTCAGATACAGACAAACTCATGAGAGGGAGGTGGGGTGTGGGGTGGGGGAGTCTCGGCCCTCCCAAGGCAGAGCTTTTTATCTTTATAACCTTTTACGAAAAGCTTATTTTCCTCTGCGCCCAGCCTGGGGAAGAGCAGCAAAGACCTCGCAGCTCCAAGTCAGGCGAGGGGGTGTGTTCTCCGGCCCAGGCCCGGCGCCCGGCCGCTCCGAGGCCGCGGGGGTTCTTACCTGGAAGCTGGCCCCACAACACAGACAGGCTCGCGGGACGCGTCTCTGCGGGAGAAGTCCTAACCTGATTCCATGACTGAGTCTCCTCACCGACCCCAGAGCCCGGAGCGGCAGCGGGGACGACAGCACGGCGACAAGGCGGAAGTCCCGCCCCACGCGCCTCATTGGCCTGCACCCGAAGGCGGAAGTAAGCCATTGGGCCCCGGCTGTGTTTGCTAAGGCTCCTTCCCACACCCACGCTGTGTCTCCGCCTGCTCGCGGGGCTCGGAGAAATGCCCAGTTGGTGGAGTCGAGTTCTTGGCTGCGTGATCGGTCTTCCCCTGAGGGCAGGGTGGGGCAGACTTCTGCTTTTGGCCGGGTAGGGAGCAGGCTGGCCCAGAGGTCTGTGCCCCCGGGAGTGGAGGCCGTGGGGTCCGGAGGGGCCCTGACCTAGCGGCCAGGGCCGGCAGCCCAGGTCTGATGTGGCTGTTGGGCGGCAGCAGCCCGACACCCTGGTCGGCTGCGCCTGGGAGGCCCTGGAGCTGGTACCAGGGCGTCTCTTCCTGCACCCACTCGCCCGACCGGCTGAAGCGGCGAGGACGAGGACAAGGCCTCATCCCCTCTGCACGCTGTCCGCAGGCTGAGAGCGGAGACTGACGCGACCTAGGCCGGCGCCTTAGAGTCCCGGTGCAGTGGTTAGGGGTGCGAGCACCCGGAGGGCCACCTGCAGTCCTCGCCTGGCTGGGAGCCGCGCTGACCTTAGCACTCTGGGCCTGACTGGGGCCGACTCCTGGACTCGGCAAAAGTCAAACTATTTGATTAAGCCCTACGTCAGACTTTTAAAACCTTTGCCTCCTTTGGATGAATCAAAAATTCTCGTCCTCTACCTCCCTTCAGGTAAACCTTACCCGTCCCGGGCGTTCCAGTCTCAAACGAAGCTTCTTTGAAATTTAACCGGATTGGACCATCCACGCTGATTATCAGTTGCCAATTAGCCACTTTGAAGAGGCAATGGAAAAAAAAAAAAAAAGAAGCAGTGGGTTTACTGCAAAAAATTGCATAAAGTCCTGAATTAGAATGCCAGGAGACGCTAGATTCTGGTCCTGCTTCTGTTTCAAAATAAGCGCCTTTACAGGTTTTACATCCTTCGACCTCATCTTTTAAACAAAGGAGGGGCCAGAAGGGCTAGCACAGAAAACACCTGAAGAATACCATTGGATGTAACTTTTAATTTGATTGCTCTGGGTACACCTGAGTGACTGAAAAAGGAATAGGAGGAAAACTCTTTCCCCATTGTGTATCTTTTGGGGCCTTTGAATTTTGTACCTTGTGAACACTACTCAAAAATTAAATACAAAAATGTTAAAAATCAAATTACAATAAAATAACAAAGGCCATCAAACATATTTTCCTCTTCTATGTACCCTCTGGCTATATATTCTACATATTCTAAATTTTACAAGTGTGAAGACAGTCACACTTAATATACAATCCTGCCATTAAGATAATTGTACATAAAAATCAGAATTGGGGATATTACTATGAAGTCTAGTATAATTAGTGTAAACATAGTTACAATGTCAGCATTTCTTCATTAATTCTCAAATTGGCTTTATATTAAATCAGAGATTTCTTAAATGACATCGAAAGAAGTAAAAAATGTTACGGGTTAAAAAAAAACAAAGAAGAGATTCTTTTATTCCTTAAGTAAAAGCACCTTGAGGACAAAACATTTTGATCTGACTAATCTGCTCTTCTGGTTACAATTGGTATAGTTCTTTCAGTTATAAACAAGATAAAGTGCTATTTGTACTGCATTTAGGCCTACTAATTGTGCTTCACTCTAAAGAAGTATCGATTCTCCCCACTGTGTTGAATAAAGGTAAATTGGAAGAAAATAGATTGGGAAAACCTACTATCTTTGTAAAAGTAGGTTAGCCCGTAAGGTTGATATCTATCTTAATTATGGCTTTCAAAAACATAAGGGTTAAAAGAAAATGAGCTGTTAGGACTTTGTGTTTGATAGTGTTGTTGTTGTTTTTAAATCCTCCTAAAAATACAGATAGCATTGTAGAATTTCCCACGTCCAAAATATTATAAGACAGCAGCAACAACCAAACAAAAAAAAAACACAAGATACCCAATTACCTAATTGTCTAAAATGGCTTAAAAGTATTTTTCCCTAAAATATGAAAAGAATGCAGATCCCAGCTGGTGTTGCTCAGTGGTTGAACATCGACCCATGAATCAGGAGGTCAGAGTTCAATTCCTGGTCAGGGCACATGCCTGGGTTGTGGGCTTGATCCCCAGTAGAGGTCATGCAGGAGGCAACCCATCAATGACTCTCATTGATGTTTCTCTCCTCCTTTCCTCTCTCTGAAATCAATAAAAATATATATATTTTTAAATGCAGGCTCTTTAAGTACTGAGATTAACTAAAGATGTTAAAGTTTTGTCTCTAGTCATTATTTACAATTATAAAAGGGAATTTTAGAATCAGTAAAAAGTTTTTGTCATTTTGAAAAGAAAAATTACTGTGATAAAAAAGGAATCCTATATAATAAAAGCCTAATGTGCTAAGTGTCCTGTCATCCGGTTATTCGTTCAACCAATCAAAATATAATCTTACCTAATAATAGCCAAACATGCAAATTGACCATACCTTTGCTATGCCCCAAGCCACGCCCACCAGCCAATCAGAGCAACTATATGCAAATTAACCCAACCAAGATGGCAGCTGGCAGCCACGGAGCTGGAGCAAGCAGGAGGCTTGGTTGCCCCAATGATGGAAGAAGCCACGCTTCCCAGCCAGATGCTGCCTCCTCTCAAGGCAACAAAGTTTCAATTATAGAAGGTAAATAAAGCCCAGATATCTGCTTCCAGTCGTCATGGCCATGGAGCTGGAGTGAATAAAACAAAAACAAAAAAAGGAAAGGCTGGGAGCTTTGGTCGCCAAGGGGCTTAGTCAGTCTGAAAACAGCCATCAGCCACTCATCCAGGCTGGCCAGGCACCCCAGTGGGGACCCCCCACCCTGAAGGGGGTGTGGGCAGCCTAAAAACGGCCCTCAGCCCCTCACCCAGGCTGGCCAGGCACCCCAGCAGGACTCCCCTACCCTGAAGGGGCTGTGGGCAGCCTAAAAACGGCCCTCAGCCCCTCACCCAGGCTGGCCAGGCACCCCAGCAGGACTCCCCTACCCTGAAGGGGCTGTGGGCAGCCTAAAAACGGCCCTCAGCCCCTCACCCAGGCTGGCCAGGCACCCCAGCAGGACTCCCCTACCCTGAAGGGGCTGTGGGCAGCCTAAAAACGGCCCTCAGCCCCTCACCCAGGCTGGCCAGGCACCCCAGCAGGACTCCCCTACCCTGAAGGGGCTGTGGGCAGCCTAAAAACGGCCCTCAGCCCCTCACCCAGGCTGGCCAGGCACCCCAGCAGGACTCCCCTACCCTGAAGGGGCTGTGGGCAGCCTAAAAACGGCCCTCAGCCCCTCACCCAGGCTGGCCAGGCACCCCAGCAGGACTCCCCTACCCTGAAGGGGCTGTGGGCAGCCTAAAAACGGCCCTCAGCCCCTCACCCAGGCTGGCCAGGCACCCCAGCAGGACTCCCCTACCCTGAAGGGGCTGTGGGCAGCCTAAAAACGGCCCTCAGCCCCTCACCCAGGCTGGCCAGGCACCCCAGCAGGACTCCCCTACCCTGAAGGGGCTGTGGGCAGCCTAAAAACGCATCCTTCAAGGGGTCCCAGACTGCAAGAGGTCATAGGCCGGGCTGAGGGAGCCCCCCAAGTGCATGAATTTCATGCACCGGGCCTCTAGTAGAATATATAAGGAATCCACAGGATTCTTCACATGTGTGGATGAAAAGGGGATTTTTACCTAAGGTAACCTCATAGGATGATATGATCATGAATTCCTAACTGGGCAAGTCATGATAGGTAGTCATGCCCCAGCATATAACTTCTTTAGTGAAAGGTTTTTAAGCAAGTTCTGTTCATTGTTTTTGTGCATCTAGGTTAACACACCTTTGAAATACCCCTGAAAGGTGTAATCTCCCTCCAGAGAGCACATAATTTTGTTAATTATAGTGTTATCTAATCCCCATCCTGTTTTCTCCCACCTTCACCTACTCTTCTTTACTTCCCTCTATAACTTCAAATGTATAAGAAAAACTGCAAAACTGTTTTTCTCAGAAGCATTTGAAATCTTGGTTCCCAGCAATTGTCATCAGTGTGGCTCAAATAAACTCTTATAAAAGCTCTCTGCAGGTTTGAATGTTTCTTATGTTGACATAGATAAGGAATGGGCACATTTGAAAAAGCATCAAACAGAACTTTAAAAAACTGCTTTAGGACATTTCTGGCCAAAGATTAAAACAGACTCCCATTTCCTTATAAAATTCTAAGCTAAAAAAATAAGTTCATTTTGTAAGATAGTGAAAGGTTCAGAACACAAAAAGTCAGGTATCAGTCAAAAGAGTTTTTCAAAAAAGTGTGTTTTCCCGTTGAGAAAGTTCAGACCAAAAAAAGGGGGCGCTGTATAAAGTTAAATGCCTTTAAGAAATGACCTGGTCATTGTTTCCCTTGAGATGAATTGTACCCCTCTCTTACATCTAACATTGTTAGGGGCAGAAATAGAATACTGGGGACTATCTACAATTAAAAAGTATTAATCATGCTCTGTTGGTGATGGTTCTGTTCTGATTAGAGAAAGAACATTCTACCCTGGTTGAGAGTTGTATGCCCTGGGACATGGGAGCTAACATTGGGAATGCAGTCCATCCTCCTTTCCCAAGAACTGCCTATCATTATGGAAAGATTTACAACTTCATGGCTGAAACAATCTAGTTTCAGAGGTGCCCACCTTCTGCAACCTTCCCCGCTCCAGCCCACATAACTTGTAATCTGTAATGATTATACCGTGCCTATTTTCCCATGCCTGTAATTCTTACTTTTCCACATAATCTTTGTCCTTCTACCCAATATAAGCAACTGGTTTATGGGGAGAGACAGAGCAGATTTTTGTGAATGACCTGCTGCCCTCCCATACTGCCAGCACTATTGGAATAAACACTCATATATGATTCAACCCTGTTTCTGCTTAATTGGCTGAAGTAGTGACAGGTAGCCCAGACCCCTTGGTTGTCAGATTACATAATCTGGCAAATCTGGTGACTTTGGTGGATACAAGCAGGGAGTCCTCTTGGGTGAGTACCGGGGATCCAGCTTGCTGCCTGGACTGGGGGTTCCTGAGGCTGAGGCCTGGACTCTTTTACTTGCAGCACTGCCAGGAATTTTCCTGTTTTGAGCCCCAGCCTCAGCAATCCCCGTCATCTCACCTAAAACTTAAATTGAATGAAGCTTTCTGTAACTCTGTAATGGGAAGTCAGTTGTCTGTTGCCCCCATTGGGGTGAGCCTAATCAACTCCTGGTTGCAAGCGGCCTCTCAAGTTCCTTGCCTTTTCTCCACACCCAGGCCTGACCAGCTTAGGTTCCAGACAAGGTCCTGAATGATGCAGGGCTTCTGTCTGGTATTCCGTCTGGCTGTGCACGGTAAGGTGTGGTTGTGCATGGAAAGCCACAAATGGTTGTCTGTCTGTTGTAAATACAGGTATTATATATTAGGGTGGTTTTTGCCTGGTGTAACTTTGCCTGTAATCTTGCTTAAATTGTTCAAGGATGGGTGCTAGTGGCTCAATCCCAAAAGACACTCCATTGGGACGGATCTTGGGGGATTAGGCTACTTATCCTTATTCTCCAATAAACAAAAAAACAAAAACAAAAAAAAGGAAAAGGGTGTTTTACTGCAATACTGCTTGACCTCACTCTTAAATATCCTCTTCACTGGGCACAAATGGAGATTAGTGTTTGGGAAAGCATGGTGTGAAGCTCTTGTCTGTATGTTGTGCACATTATAAATATTGTATGTAAGAGTGTCTCTGTTGATTGTTGCTCTGTCTCTTTGTTGTTTGGTTTGTTTAAAGATGGGGCATATCCCACTTTGTTTGGGTGCCCCAGCTGCTTGTAACAGGCTAACCAGGGGTCCTCAAACTTTTTAAACAGGGGGCCAGTTCACTGTCCCTCAGACCATTGGAGGGCCGGACTATAGTTTAAAAAAAAACTATGAACAAATTCCTATGCACACTGCACATATCTTATTTTGAAGTAAAAAAACAAAACGGGAACAAATATAATATTTGTATTTGCATGTGGCCCGCGGGCCGTAGTTTGAGGACCCCTGGCCCATGGCAGGGATTGCAGGAATTTGCCAGCAGCTTCGGGGAGTTCTTAATCTTGGGGATTCTCCCTGCTCTCTCTCTCAAGGCATCAGCTGCCGAAATGCTTAGCTAGTGAGAGTTTTGTCTGTCTGTCTGGTTAAAGATGTTCTTTGCTTTCTTATCTTTTGGGGACTTAG